CCTTTTTTTTTTTGTGGCCCCGCGAAAATTATTAGTCAAAAGTGAAAGTCCCGTGGAATCAAAGTGCGTCAAGCTCGAACAGCCATGTCAACACACCGGAGTGAAAAAACGTGAAAAGATTTATTGCTAATTAATTGCCACAATTTGGAATTAATTGGCACGTATTTTGGAGGCGAAAACGTGTGTGGGCTATCTTGACGCGACTCCCGAACACACATAAGTTAAATTCTGGTAGTAGTTCGACCGAAACCCTCAGATAATTAATTGCCACATATCTTCGTGGCGGAAACGGGTATGACCTGGCTTGACCCGTCAAGCCAGCTTACAAAGTTAAATGTGGGTTGGAAATAACAGATTTCGCGTCGAAAATACGTGACAATTAATTAGCAATAAATTATCAAAGGGTTTCTGTCGAGTACAACCCGAATTTAACTTGTGTGTGTGCTGGCGTCAAGCCAGCTCACACTCGTTTTCGCCTCGAAAATACATAACAATTGGTACTATATCATTTGACATTTTTCATTGCGGTACGCCGTCATGTCTGTTCCAGCTTGACGCACCTCTGCCGCACCAATCATGTCGAACGAGAATATTATGAGTCAACTCTTTAATGTCAAAATAGGTGAAGTTTAGAATTAAGGATTTTTTCTAGTAATTTCTGAAACAGAAAATCATTCTTCAATTCAGCTAAGTACAGTTTTTAAAATGGCAGAAGTCGGATTTTCATTAAAACCACAGTTTTCAAAAATTGCAAATCAAATTGTTTTAAACCCCCTCCATCCCCATTATTGAGGATAAAGATTTTTCAGAATAAAATCTATTCTTCAAAATTATATCATTAAATAATACAATTCTTTGAAAATATGAGTGGTTTTTTAGCAAAATTGAAACTGTGATAATATTTTTAAAAAATTTGTTAAGATTTTATTGAAAACAGCTCCAAATTTGTCTTTATTTTGCTGGGGTAGAGCAGTCTACTCTAATAATAATGATGATAATAATAATAATGCATAAGAATAATATTCATTAAAACTTACGAAATTTTGAAAATAACAACTTTTTTTTACTTTCTTGTACTTTCTTGTGCTCGTGTATAAAGACTGCTTCCGTGTATAGGCCGCACTAATGATCTTTGAGACAATAATTTGAAGGGGGAAAAAGTGTTTAAGCGTGTCAAGTTCCCCGAATGGAAAGGAAATCGAGCAGCCGGGAGGAAATTCGACATCGAAGACAAGCGTGTGAAGTGGTGGATTCAAGACAAAACCGTGTTGGAAAATACCAATTGCAGTAGATGCGCATTTCGAGGAAAGAATTGTGAATATTCTACAGGTGAAGAAAGAATACGTTCGGGAACCCGGTGCAACGGTTTTGCCGTTTTCCGAGAGATGCCTCAGGCCGGGTTCCTTTTATAAAAGTGAATAGCAAACACACGTAGTGTTAGTACTAGAAATAATAAAAATGTCTTCTAAAAATAGGCCCTCTTTTACCTGGGCCGTCCCACATTGTGGCCCCAAACTTTATTCCACTGTTTACCCTGTACCGAATTCCAAGCGAGCTACCATACTAGTTTTGAACTGTTTTCGGGCTCCCACCACCGAAGGGCTAAGAAGTACACTGAAGGAGAGCAATGGGAATTTAGAAGTAAAGCTAGGCGGCATGACCAGGTTGCTACAACCATTTTGTGTGCGTGGGAATCGATTTCAGGCGAACTGGTCGTGAAAAGTTCTGACATTTGCGGCATTTCAAATAAGATCAACGAGAGCGAAGACGTATTAAGGTGCATTTACTCAACGCGAGCGAACAAGCGATTCTGGGCGAAGGCTCGTTCGTTCGACAGATCGCGGGTAAGTAATTGTTACCCGTTTACCCGCGAGCTGGCGCTCCGAATGTTTATTCTGCCGGCAATGTTGTTCGCTCACAGAGACAGCCCTTCTGAGTGAGGTAATTACAGTACGAACAAGCGACTGGATTTACTTTTTATTGTAAAAAGAGTAGAAGATGAGCGACGAAATTTGTGGCTAATTCGTTTGCGTGCTTTCATAAAAAAAAAACAAAGCTGACCAATGAATCGTATTCTATTTCTGAGAACTGGTTCTTAATTGAAAAATGTAAAATTCATTACTTTTATTGAATTTAATGGTTTTAAATTGTAGTTCTTTATAATGTTCTTCCAACAACGAAAATAACTAGATTCCTTGTAGGTCCCTTATTGCTATTCAAGATAACAATTTCTCAAAAATGTAGATAAACATTTAACAAAACATGTTAATTTACGTAAAAACTATTGTATTGAGCAGAAATGTGAGAGAGTTAATACAATTAAATTAAAATAATAAAATTGACATATTCTCAACAAAAACAAATATAAAATATTTTATTATTCAAGTCACAGCTTCGTCAATATTATTAATGTGCGTTTAGATTGAAGTGAATTGTGTCTGGTGTCCGCTATATTAATGCGTACTATTAAAACAAATTTTAAAATATAATTAAAATTAGTAAATTTTAATATTTTGTTCCCTACTTTGTCTTTTCTTACCTTCAAACTTGTCATTTAAAAGTTTCGTACTTTTTCTATGCAAACTACAAACTGCACAATTCGCCTTTGTCCCCACAAGACTGTTGAAATTAGCGCAAGTCGCCAACGTGTTCGGAAGTAAAAATGACACTGTTCGACCTTGTCGCGAACCTCAGCTCCGAGCGTATGTGTTCGCTCGGCGTCTGCATTCGTTTCCACGGTACGAACGTTGCTCCACTGTGGTGTAACATTCGTGTTCGCCTGACCCCTCTCGGGGTCTCTTCGAACGTTGGGCGGT